TGCAGATGTAAGATGTTGGTGTCATATGTAATGACCCCATTTAATCTGAAGTGGGGCAGAGTTATATTTACCCTCAGGCTGGGTTTTATTGCTTGGACACTGTGGGGTCTTAATTTGCTGATCTCTCTTCTGTCATCTAAGCAGCCACCAACTCTCCCATGCTTTTCTAACATCTTCTTGGGGCCAGAAGAAAATTCACATTCACTCCTGAAGCCTGTTTTTCTGATGCACTCTTCACCTAGGATCAGAACCTTACAAGAGTTTGTCCTACCCTTGTCATTACCTCTATCATCCTCAAGACAGGACAGCAGAGACAGTTACCAACTCCTGTGCCCTTCTGGGGCCACGTTCCTGCCAGCTGTCACAGCTCTCACAGGCTCTAGGGTGCTGTGGAGTCTGACATGCACAAGTCACTCAGAGATTTGCATTAATAATGCTCTCAAAATCTCAAGAACACTTTTTATTATTATTACTATTATTTTATTTAATTTTTTATATTTATGTCTTAGCCACAGCCTATGCTTGTTCAGTTCAGAATGTCAATATGTTTGTTTTTCCTTGGCCATCAAAATAGAGAGGTTATTCTATCTGGACACATTGATGATATTCAGTTGTTTCCTGATAACTGCTCCATTAACATCTGTCAGCATGGCACCCTCTCTGCTCATAACCTCCTCACAGACCAGACAGCTTTCCTAGCAGAAGGGACATACTTACAAGAAAATAGAAGGCAAAATGTCAGCATGTTCCCAAATGAGATGCCCTGGGAGATTCATGACACAGTGGTAGCTGTGAAGAAATGCAGATGTGACAGGGGGCTGACAGTTTGGTACTTTGTCTATAATCCTTCTGAACTAGTGGCAGAGACTTTCTTAAATACAGTGATTACCATGAGAAACCTCTCCCTAAATGTGTTGTTTACATTAACAATCATAAGATGATAAGTGACAGGCCTGGGTCCTTTCCATTCGTTTCAGAGGACAAATACCATAGGTCAAGACTTTTGGAATAACAATAATAATTACAACAACAATAACGGGTTAATATAATAATAAAACAGACCAGCAAGCCTGAAAAAAACAGAATAGAGTCTGAATAAAATAGGCTGAAAAGCCTGCATTTGCTAAACCATTTGGTCAAATGGGCTGAGATATTTGAGCTAAAGTAAATCAGGCAGAAGTTGCCTTTGAGTGACCGAAGGACTGGCTCAAAAGCAGCCATTTGGGCTGCCCAGAATACAGACATATTGCTCCCTGGGCATCCTTCTGCAGAGGTACTGCTGCAGCTCTGTGCTTCTCTCCAGAAATAAGCAGTGCATTACTGGTAGCAAGGTAGCCACCTTCTAGACATGCTGCTGCTGTTTTTCTTGGACCACAGAAATGATATATCCAAGGTAGAGTAAATATAAAAACAAATAAAACTGCTCTCAAAAATGTTTTTGTCTGAATAATTAATTCCTCAGCAAATTTTCTCGTAATAAAGCATGTCCTAATGAGCTATCAGGAGGAGAGGAAATTCATCACTTACCCCACAAATATCAACTTGAGAGCACTGCTCATGTCAGATGGCATAATTAATGACTTGAGAGGGAGCGTGGGGCAGCACAGCCAAAAACATCATCCCCATCAGTCATCCCACATCAGCCCAACTCATCCATGTTACTCGATCTACAGAGGATTAGCCAGGCAGCGAGAAGGAAATATGGGGCTAAAGGGAATGCAGGCAAATATGGTATATCTAATCTTGATTTATCCTGGTTGGTTTTCTGCTTATCACTGAGGTGCCATGGCAGTTGGTCGTGCATTGTGTTTTATTTTTGTGGCTTTTCTTTTTTTTTTTTTCCCAGAGAAATGAAATTGAACTTCACCCTCCCTGATGCTGAGCAAGCCATCCTCAGCCCCATGTCAGAACCTGGTGCTCCTGGGGGTTCAATTCCTGAGCAGCAGGCCTGGGTGGGTGCCCTGGAGCAGTGAGACCTCTCTGTGCAGCGATGATGTGGTCAAGGTGGTGTTCATGGGGGGGGCTGCAGGAGGAACACATCTGAAACCATTCTTCTTGTGGTGGCACCACCCCCAGAGCTGGGGCAATGTGCAGCCTCCTCTCCTCACATGTCCACCCCTTCTCTCAGTGCCCTGCAGCAAGAATTGCTCCACTGGCTTTCTCCATGTGTGCGCTCTGGGGGCAAGTCCCTCCTAAGGACATCCACAGGAGCCAAGGCATGGGGGATGCTTTGCAGAGACAGCTCTCCCCACTTGGATGGGGAAGCTGAGACACCAGGCTGGTGCTGGCAGCTGTTGTAATGAGAACCTGAAATGGCCAAAGGGGGTCAGACCAGAGGGTGATCTCCCTGGGGATCCCACCTCCAAGGCTGCCAGGAGCAGGTGCTTGTTTAGGGAAGAATAGATTCTGGGAGATGCAGAGAGATCATTTTGTGACTCCACCTCCCCAGCAACATGCTATGAGGGTTGGACACACTGGGAGAGTAACCTTCCTGAACTGGAGGTTACTCCCCCAGCTCTGCATTTCTCAGGTCCTTATGGAACTCTTTTTACCATTAATTTATCTAATATCTTTTGGCACCAGCACTCCTCAGTGTCCTGTGATGTCACAGAACAATTGTGATTGCCGCAGAACAATTATGTGAAGTGGGAAAAATGTGCATCTTTTCCTGTGTTTCAGAGCTTCTGCCTGGCCTGTATATCAAATGTCCTCCATTCCCTGTGATAAGAGGAGTGAATCATCATTCACATTGCCTTTCCCCCTTGTTGCTTCACCACGTTGAGAAAAGCAAGCCTATCAAATTTACTCCACTGAAATAGCTCCATGTTTCTGAACCAATTCCAGCCTAGCAGGATTTTTTTTTTAGGATTTACATGAGAGAAGAGTATGAGAAATCCAGGCAGCTGCCAAAGTGATGGCTGACAGGTTTTATTTCCATCCCTTTGCTCACTCCAGTGTGTGCTCACTGCTTAAGAGCAAGCCCTGTGCTCCAGTAGCTGTCAGCTGCTAAGAGCAGCTGTTTTACATGTCTGCTCACATTTGTAAATGCCTGGCTGTGTTTTCTGAAGCTCTCCAATAAATGCTTGCTTGAGTTAGCTCATCAGCAAAGACAACTCGAGCTGCTCTACAAGTGACCCCCACAGTCACCTGTGCAAGCACCCTGGTGCAGCAGAGCCCTGTGGCTGCTGCTGGCAAGATCTGAGCTCTGGGCTTGCCCCAGGCAGAGCGCCCTGGGCATCTGCTGGCCTTCTGTGGGCTCCAGTGTAACCAATAATTGGCCTTTTATGTCGGTGCTGACCTCCCAGGTTAAGTTCAGAAAACATTATCTGGCAAATCTGATGTGTCACATTTCAAAGAAAAGAGTTTTCCACCCCAATCCAGGTCTGATTTCTTTACAGGTAAAGGATAAAACCCTTTGGGAACCAAGCACTTCTTGGAAGCAAGGTTAAGAGCAATAAACTTTCCTCCTTACCAATAGACTGAAATATTTTCTGTTAGGAGCACACATCTATCCCCACAGGGTCAGGTCAGTGCTCTATGACTCATTTTACAAAATTGAAATACAATTTTTGGTGATCAAAACCGGGTAAGGATCAGAAAACTGGCCGGACACATTCCATTTATACTGACAAAAGTTTGTATTGAAGAAATACTTCCCCTGCACAGATAGAGTGAGATTTCAAGATAATATGCATTACAAATGATTTGTAATGAAGCTGTGAATGAATGTCTTCTCTGAGAATCCCCCCAGTGCCCTCCTCAGTATCTGTAACCTCTTACCAGCACACAGAAATAATTGTTTTGTTGCCCAATGGAAACACCAGCCTGAATTCCCATGTGCACTGAGTGTGAGGTCTCTGTCCCTCATCTGCTTCTCTAAACACTGCCTGGGAAGTGGCACAGTGATAAAATGAGTGTAAACAGCCCTGGGATCAAAAAGTGATTTGGGACCTGCAGCTGATCTCAAACTGGATGTGGCTAGGAAATTAGATTAGGAAATTACTTTACCTGGAACTGGACATTAATTGTGGTGTCTTGTGCTGGAGAGAGGATTCATGCTGAGATAGAAAAATGAAATTGGGATTGTGGGGAAACTGTAGCTTGAAGTCAGTTTAATTTGGATTTTTGTGCCAGCGTGATCTGAGCACAACTCATATCCCCCTTTTTGATGCCTTTTGCTTTCTGGCATCCTGGTCTTGCAGTTTTGGGCCCTACAGCAGAGGGGGTGCTCTGGTGTCTTCCCAAGCGTGGTGTGGGACAGGGAGCTGCTCACCCCCGGGAATAAAATGCCATCTGTTCCTGCTATGTGTGTCCCATTGCTGCGCTGGTCCGTTCTCAGCTTGATTTCCAGCAGGAACTTGCTTAAGGCTATTTTCTTTCAGCCCTGCTCCACCTCCCAGCCAGGGATAAGGAGCTGATCCCAACCCCAGGCAGCCCCTAAACGCCAGCAAGGCTCAGGAAGTTATTCCACTTGTGGTGAGCCTTTGCTCCTCTTGCAATACCTTGGTAAGGGGGCGACCATCTGGGCTAGAACAGAACCACTGGGTCTGTGTGTGCCGGGGTGTCTGTGCACCCTGTCTATTATTGCCACCGTCTGAGGATGGTGGCCAGATTTTTAAAAACTGGGGCCAAAATTTCCTGGCATCCAGCAGGTAGGGTGAAGCCAGTCTGCTGGTTTTGGGTATTTGTGTGTGTGTGTGATGGCAATCAACAAGGGTGACATCAGTGTCCTGTGTCATTAGGGGGATCCCCCACCGGCGGTCCCCAGCCCTGCTGGAGACTGATTTAACCCTCTGGGCGCCAGGGCGTACTGGCAGCCAGATTTTCCCCAAGAGGGATACCCCACAACTGCTCTTCCCCTCTCCTCTCTTCCCCTACAAGCCCTGAAGCCATTCCCAGGGGCAGCTCGGGCTGCGGGAGAGGGAACAGCCTTGTCCAGAGGAGGCATCGGACCGCAATGCATTGCACTGCGCATCCTCCCTCCCTCCTTCCCTCCCCACCGCCTACAGCTGCAGCCTGCCTTCCTCCCTCCATCCCTCCATCCCTCCATCCTCCCCGCCTCCCACCTCGCATCGTTCCCTTGCGTCTCCCACTCCTGCATCCCTCTCTTCTACATCCCTCCTCCCGCATCCCTCCTCCCGCATCCCTCTCTCCACCCCTCCCTCCTTCCCTCCCTCCCTCTGCCTGCGCAGAGCCGCGGACATGGCGCTCAGCAATTTCCTCTTCGCTCAGTGCATCTGCTATTTCCTGGCCTTTCTCTTCAGCTTCATCGTGGTGGTGCCACTCTCCGAGAATGGCAACGACTTCCACGGCCGCTGCCTGCTCTTCACCGAGGGCATGTGGCTCAACGCCAACCTGACGGTGGAGCGGCAGCGCTTCACGGTGCAGGAGTGGGGGCCTGAGGCCGCTTGCCGCTTTAGCATCTTCACCGGGCTCCTCTCCCTGCTGCTGGCCACAGTGCAGGCCTGGAGGACCCTCTTCTTCCTCTGCAAAGGGCACGAGGAGTAAGTATCCCTGGGGATCAGCCCATCCCTCCCACAGGCTGGGGCACGTGGGAGCAGTCTGGGTGGGCTTTGCACCACCCAGGGCTCCCCAGAGGGGTTTGGGGACACGGGTCTATGGCCCGTGTCTGGCTGCACACACTGCAGGCACTCCCCCAGCTGTTCCAGGGCCCTCTCCAGAGGATGCTCCTGTGGGGTGGGGGGTCAGATCCTCTGCCGTGCACCCACTGCCCTTTGGCAGACTTGGTGCAGCATGGCTACAGTGGCCATGTAAGGATTTGGGGGCTCTGGGGTGATGCTGGAGGCTGGGGCTCCCAGGTGCCTGTTGACCACGGTCCCGCTGCACATCCGTGCCAAAGAAGGCCCTCCCCAGGTGTGCACTGGGTGTGTGAAAAACCCTGAAACAACGTGGTTGTGTGTGGGGGGCCAGAAGGGAGGAGCTGGTGATCCCCCTCTATTTTTCGTGCTGGTTTTGCTGTGCACATGGCAGCTATTGCAGACAACAGCTATTGCTTGGTTACGACATGAGAGCGATGCTGAGCGCTCCTGCAGCAGCCCAGCACTGACTGCTGGTTCCTGTGCTCAGACGGGCCAAGGGACATCCTGGGGCAGCGTGGGCAAGGATTCCACAGCATCCCACCCCAGCAGGTGCAGTGAGAGCCTTGGTGGCCAGGCAGCAGCTCAGGAGCACTGTGATGTTCTGTGCTTGCCTCTCTGGTGGCCTGAGAGAGCAGAGAGCCTGGTGCAGGTAACCCAGGTGCTGCAGGGCTGGGGCTGGACAATGCACTGGTGCTTCTCTAAACTAGGAAGATATTTTTCCCATGGTTTAGGAACCATGCCAAGGATTGATCACTCCTGTCCAGGTCTATTTGGACTAGAGGTTTCTTGAGTAAGGGGCTGTTACATCTGGGCTTGGCAACCCTGGAGACTGTGTAGCACTGCTTTCTTTTGGCTCTTTCCAACCACTTTCAACCTGCCTAATACTCAAATATGCTGTAAGAAGTATGGACCAGAAACTTATTCCATATGAAAAGTGTGTACCTTACACTAAATACAACCACATACTTATCAATATCTTTGAGTCCATCTTCCTTGGGGGATCCAGTATCTGTAGAGGGTTAGCTAAATCTTAATGCTTTGCAGGTCAGAGCTAGCTAATTTTTAGAAGAAATCATCAACAAAAACCCTGTAATGGTGACATTTGGATTAGATGTTTGGCCTGCTTTGAAAAGCGGCTGTTAACTTCAAGACTGTTGGGCAGGCTCCTGAAAAGTGTCCCTTAGGAGCTCCTTCAGGCTCCTTTGGGAGTTGTATGACACTGCTCATAGCTGCTCCAGGCAAGAGAGGCAGAAGGTTGTGGGGTGATGGGAGCAAAGACGGAGCAAGTTGAGATGATGAGATAACCACAACATGGCAAGATGCTTGGGAACAGCAGTTTCTTGGTAAGGTCTGTCCTGTTCCACATCAGCCACCATATCAAAAGCAGGCAGGGCTCACACTGTCCTGATTTTAGACAGCCATTTGTTAACAGTTCAAATGGGTGCAAAACCATTTCTGTTTGGATGGAGAGATAATTGTGAGCTCCTCACTACACATGATAATTGTCTGTTCTCATTAGAGGTAGTTGAGGAATGTCATAAGTGATGATCCTGTTGAGGAGGATCACTGCTACTGGGCCAGCTCCAGGTTGAGCCAGCTGAGGCAGTCAGGGTTAGTTAGCACCCTTTGCATCTTTCATGTGCAATGATTTGAATGATTGCTGACAGATACTTATGATTGCTGAAAAAACCTTAAAAGGGTCTCAGCACCCCTTGCCTCGGCAGCTTGGGGCTCTTCAGCTCAGCTGAAGGGTAGAGGTGTAACTCAGATACTTCATTGCTAGGATTGCAAAGAAACTTTAAGTGTAAACATTCATTATTAAAGGGCACTCAATCTGCGATGCATAGCTTGAAGTTCTAATCTGAGGAAAAATCAGGCGATCTAGAGAGCCAAATAAGCAGTTTTCTGTCAGGATGCCCTGGCATCAGGTGGTTTCTCTTGCCAGGTCCAAATCAAGTGCAAGGCTGAGCCCTGCTTTGTCAATGAAGGCCAGATCCTGGACCATGGAACCTTTCTTGCTCCAGGGTACAAAATAGAGGGAGAACTGGAGATCCTGGGCTGTGATGGCCCACTGAATAGTTCTGGTAACTTCTCCTTGTCTAGAGCTGTTTCTAATTGTGGCTCCAGGTCTGTTTTATTCTGTGAACAGGTCAAGTCTTTTCTGCCTCTCAGGCCAGCACACCATGCTAAGGTGCACACAATCTGACTTTAGCAACATTTGGGATGAAATCCAGTCTAGGTGTGAAATCAGGGTGAAGAACATGCAAAAATCTGGTATCCCATAGCAGCTCTCACTGTATGGGTTACCCCAGCTCACCCCAGATCAGAGGTGAGCTGATCTACTTCACCAAGCCCAGCTACACCAGAGCAGGATTCAGCTTATTGTTTATTCAGAAGTCAGGTGTCCTGGCATCCAGCACTCATTACACTCTATAGGGGCATTTATTGAAGGTGGTTTATTTCACTTTTCCATCAGTCTTGGTGTGGCACAACTGTCAGTTTGGAGAGAACCTAGACAATCTCTATAAAGACACATCAACCCAGGAGAAAACAGCCTAACTCTGCTGATAAATGCTTCCTCATCTAATTTTAAAGTTCTCCTGAGGTCACAAATGTATCATGTATAACCCTTAGAAACTAGGATTGTCCAGCCTATAACCTTCCAAGACTCAAACACTCATTTAAAAAAATCTCTTGTCTTTTCATTTAATGAGAAACCAGGGAAAATAAGTGAGTGAGGGGTTTTTTTTCTTTCTCTGGGGTGAGTAGATTCATTCTATCACCAGCACAATGAGTGGCACTGGTGAGAAATTTGCCATATTCATCTTTACCACACACTCTGGATAGCTCTGCCTCCTAGACCTGCCAGTCTTTCTCCAACCTGGAGCAGATGTCCAGTTTTTACATAATGTGACATTCCAAGGTGTCCTGTTCTAAACAGCCACTTAGAGCAGTTTCAAGTAGAGAAGGGCTTTGCCAGATGACTGGGATTAGAAACTTTTCACAGCTGGAACTCAGGTGAGGAGTTAAAGAGTGAAAATGAGTGAGTGATTCCATGGCCTTATGGGAAATGCCTAAGCATCCCACCCATCCCACTCCAAACACTGCACGTGCTGAGGGCAGGCCCTGGTGGGGCAGATTTAATGGGGCTGAGGTAAATTGATATTCAGCTGGCAGACATAGCATGCTGACACCAAAGCCAGAGAAATCCCGGGAGAAGCTGGCCTGCTCTGCAAATTGCCCATAAAACTGAGATTCGTGTCCTGTGATGGCACTGCCTTGTGTTACATTGCTTATAATGATTATAGCTATCAGTTCCGTGTTTTTTATTTTTAGTTTCCCTCTTCTAAGCAATTTTTGTTCCAATTATCACTTAAGTCATGAAATAATTTTAGCTGCAGTTACTACATAATTTGAGCTAATAACATTTATTTTAACAATGGTGATTTTCATCATTACAGCTAATGAAAGCCACATTGTGTATGAACAATCACCACACATTATATAAAGCCCCATCTTCATATGGTTAAAAAAGAAATCAAAATCAAAATCAAAAACATTTGGAAGTGAAGGTACGGTGACTCAAAATCAAGTCCATAGTATTTCAATGTATTAGGTGTTCTTAATTAAAGATGTGTTTTAAATGGAAACTGGTATCTTTGTACCCACTCTGTGCTGCTTACAGAGACTGCTGATGTTGTGTTTCAGCTGTTTATGAGTTACATTTTTCTTCCCTTTTATTACAGCTCTTTCTTTTACGCCTTCCTGAATCTGCTGATCAGCGCCTTTGTGGTGTTCATCACATTTATTGCCAGCACTATAGTGAGTGTAGGATTTAACATGTGGTGTGATGCAATTACTGAAAAAGGAAGCATGCCAAATAGGTTAGTATTGAAGAATACATTTTATTCCCTTTATTTTTTTTCATATAGGCACACTTGAACTGTGGTGTTACAAAGTGTAGCTATTACACACAATGTGAGAAAGAGGGAAAAGGCATCTGTAATATGAAAATCCAGAGTTTTTTTCATGTGTAAGAAAACAAAGTAAATCAAACTTCTTTTTGTTTCTTTATATAGAAGCCCACAATGAAATGTGTGTTTCTGTCGTATTTTGTGGTCATGATCACATGAAAAGCAAATCCATTATGTTAAAATTTTTTATTTCCAAAGGAATGCTAGATTTAGAGATTTTCTAAGAATGTGGAGAGTGTGGCCTTGTGAGCAGGGCAGGGGTCTGGGGGCCAGGGCTTCTGGCTTGCAGTCCTGGTTCCGCCCTCAAGCCACTGTGTGACACCTGGCAAGTCACTTATCCTGCCTGTGCCACAACTCATCATCAGACAAAACACTTGGGGTAGAGCTCCTTGCCTTGTAGTGATGCTGTGGATGCCCTGAGAGCCGCAGAATGGAAAGCACTTTGTAAGTGCAAAGTACAGATGGCTGATGCTTTGTTACAGTCACAAAATTTACAGCTCCTAAAATGGGTCACTGTGTCCCACCATGCTTATGCTCCTTAAAGGAAACATGATAAGTCAAGGAAGACTTGCTCCTGTCAAACAAATAATGATGCAAAGAGAGGAAAATGTGACATTTTATGTCATATGATATTGAATAAATGTACTACTTAAAGCATACATTTTTGTTGCACATTGTCATATGTTGTAAAATGCCATAGTGAATGTTCTGTTTAGGGCTGCAACGATTAATCGAATTACTCGAATATTCGGTTAAAAATTCAATTACAAAAAGCATCTAATCGAATATTCGGGTAAGAACCCAAGATGACCGACAGCACTGAAAAGGAGAGAGAAGAGGCTGCAGAAATCAACCAAGAGGTAGAATGACAACCTCAAAATCCTGGGATATTTTTCACACCAATAATGGTCCAAGTTATTTGTAAAATCTGTAGGCAGCCCCTATTTTATCATCAGAGTATCATCTCCTTGCTGGAGCATCTGAAACAAAAACACAATTCCTTCTTCTGAGGCTTTTCCTGATGAAGTCAAAAGGTAACAGAGGATATACACTTTGTTTCATTGAGGGGTGAAACAGCCAACCTGGGGTGATGCCAGGGGCAAATCTGTGGGAGGCAGGGGGCGTTGGGCAAGAGGGGTTTAAGACAACCTGATGATTCAATAACTTAATTATCCCTTGATAGAATATGCCATTGTGACTGTTCAAAATACATTTAATACGTTGTTTCATTTTATATTTGGTTTACCTAGAATCTCTTAAATTTTCTTCTTTTGTTTTTCCCTTTCCAAATGGCTTTCTGGGTAGCTGTGAAGAATTGCAGGATATAGATCTTGAGCTGAACTTGGAAAACTCTGCTTTCTATGACCAATTTGCTATTGCACAGGTAGGTCAGACTAAGTCATGGTTCTATTCCAGTTAATTTGCCGTTTGCTTATTGACTTGGGATTGCTGGAGCTGAACTACCATTCTCAGAAATCAATGGGAATGTTTCCACTGACTTCAGTAAGTGCTGAATCAGAATGATAGTGATGGGCATATTTGCCTTTTAAATTCAAAATAGACAGTTTTGAATACAGATATGTCAAAGCCTCACCTTACCAGTGATCTTGTTAACCATGATAGAAAAGTCATTGTTCATCCAAAGGATGAGATCTGCAAAAGTTGCAGCACTCCGGTGTCCTGGATCTGTTCATTACTGTTCAAAATAGTTTCTGACCTGCACCATGTTGTGGGGTTTCTAGTTTTGCCTTCCTTGACTTCGACTGAGATCAGTCAAGGTATATAAATATCAGACCATTGAAAAGAATCAAAGATTAATTCATTCAGATAGGGCTGTTTTCTGATGAATCCATGAGAATTAGACCTCTAAGGCTGTCAGATCTTTCTATTGAACATTCTAGCTCTAAGTCAATGATCAGAGTCAGTGAACACTGGGACATGAGCACATATTAATTTTGCAGGGATGAGAGGTCCATCCCTGCAGGGCTGCAGCCCTCCAAAGGCTTATGCCTGTCCCACATGGAAAGAGGCATTAGCCTGCCTGGAACATTCCTTGAAGGTAACCCTGCCTCTTGGGCACGAGCCAGTTTTTTTTCTTGGTTGCCAACATTGGTATCTAGATGCCCAGCTCAGGCATAACTGCATTTAGGAAATAAATATGCCATAAAAGTGACTCCTTTATATGAAGAACCCAGCACCTCCCTGGATTTAGCTTGCCATGACTCCATGGGTTTTGTTCCAGATGAGGTTTGCATAACCACCTGGACAGCTGACTTTGTTTTTACAATACTGTACTGACCTCTTTATGATTTCTTTCCTTCTCCAGTTTGGTCTCTGGGCTGCCTGGCTGACTTGGCTGGCAATTACCATTCTGGCTTTCCTGAAGGTCTATCACAACTACAGACAGGAGGATCTGCTAGATAGCCTGATCCATGAGAAGGAGCTGTTGCTAGGAAGATCCCCTTCACGATCCTCTTTGCAAGATGACAAAAGTGGCATGATCTAAAGTGTAAGCAAATTTCCAGGGCAGGATCTAGATTTTATTATTCAGTAATGTGAGCTGAAGCTGAGTCAGGGTATTGAGTGTGTGAGACCTTTTCTTTTCCTGAAATGAAATGCAATTGTGAATCACTCACTTCCCCCATGAGAAATTGCTGGCAGAAATACTGATATTAGGATAAAGAGAATGAACTGCCCTATGTGCCTATGGCACAGCAAACTTTCTGTCCTGTGCAGGCAAAATTTGTAACCTGCCCTTGTCAGCAGAGCTCCCATGTGCCATCGCTGGCTTTTGCCACAGGGGCCGTTTCTGAGAACTGAGCTGGCAAGCCCAGGCTACAACATCCAGGCTATTTCTTCAAACTATTCTTCAAAATAGTTGTAACTGGAGCTGCTTTCAGTCCCTCTCCTCCCTTTTGCCAGTGAAGCTGCCCCTGTTCTGTCTTTATTCTGGGAAGCTGCAGCTCTGGTTTGGGTGCAGGCTGTCACTGTCTCTGCTTTTGCTGTGTATGGATGCAGTGCTGATGAACATGTTGCTCCTGCTCTGATTTTATTCAAAACATAGAGACCTGTGTTCCAGACTTGATATTTAATATTGGACAGTGTTAATGAGTTTCACGAAACCTGTGTATTATTATAGCACCTGCCAAATACTGTGTATAATATGGAAGGATGACGGAGAACATTTGTGGTTTTGTTTCTTCTTAGATTTTGGCATGACCAGCATTTATTATGACTCCTGAAGTGAAGTGTAGCTAGAAATTGCTGAAGCTTGCATACTAAGAAATTAAGCTGAATAGATAGTATTAATGCTTGTGCATTTATAAATGTAACTTGGTCCCTAACATTGTACACTATTCTGTTTTGAATATTAGAATTTATTTGTGATATTTATTTCATATAGGATATGAAAAACTACTGTAAGCATTTGCATTGTAGGTTCTATATATAAACACAGCAAGGAGTTAAAACAGCTGAGTTATTTTATAGGTAGTGCAGTGCTGAATGGGTCTATTCTCTCCACTCATGGGCAGGAGTTCCAGGGCAGGTGAATTTTGCTGTGAAAAGGAAGAATAATTGCTGTTTACACAAAGCTCACTGGTGACTGTGTTGTTGCTTTCAGTTTTGCTTGGCCAGTGCTTCAACAAATGAGGTGGATTGTTGAGATCAGAGGTAGCTCTGATAATTAAGAAGAGTCACTCAGAGGCGCGTGGGATTTGCATGGCAGAGAAGTAAAGCTGTACTAGGATTAGGCATTTATCCCTAGGTACACATTGCACAGAAGACCCCAAATCAGCAGGAAACTTAAGCAAACAACTAAGTTTGGACTGAAGATTTTTTGGGAATATGCTGACTCTGGCTTTGGTGTCTGTGTTTGAGTTGAGACTGAATTTATTGCAACAGAAGTGCAAACCACACAGGGTTATATGACCTGGTAAATCAGAATGAGGGGAGAGAGGACAGCAGGCTTCTACCCCATCAGAGCTCAAGCCTGGGGTTAGCACAACCATGCAGATTTACTGTTGTCTCCTAGGGACTCTCTGATGCTTAGTTAAGTACCAGTTTAAGCATTTCATTGAAACAGAATTTGATGTCATGAAAAATCACTCAATTATTAAGCATTTTAGGGCATAAAATCTGACATTGTATTTAACTGCCAAAATGTTCTCATAGGTTTAGAGAAAAAGCCCTCCATGGGCCCTAAGCAGTAAGCCAGCCCTGTGAACATTGCTTATAACTCCAGCTGGCCACACTTCTCCGTAGAGAGGCCTTGTTCTTCAGCATGATTTCTGCCCACAAGAGAATTCAATTCATTTGAAAGCTTTGCACCAGTGGCATTTTTTTTATAGTTGGAAGTTGACATCTGAGGAGGACGCCTGGAGAGGGAATCAGAGATCAAGTTAATTAATGCCAATTTAAAATTCAGATATCAGGACTGTCAGAGTGCCTTTTTAAAAATTCTTTTGGTCTAATAGTTTGGATATTAAGAAAAGTCTCTTCACTGAAAGGGTTGTCAAGTACTGGAACAGGCTGCCCAAGGAAGTGGTGGAATCACCATCGCTGGGTGTATTTAAAAGAAAGGTAGATATGGCACTGTGGGACAAGGTTGAGTGGTGGCCTGAGCAGTGCCAGGTTATTGATTTGACTGGATGATCCTAGAGGTCTTTTTCAACCTAAATTACTCTGTCTCTAGTAGGAGATATACTCTTTCTAGTACCTGAGTCCATTGCCAGGGAATGACCTTCTTTATACCCTGAAAAAGAGTTTGGGTCTTGTAAGTTAACCTATTTCCCCAGTTTCTCCAGCTGTAAAAGGCAGTCTCACTTTAACTCAGTAATTACTCAGTAATTTGTCTCTTCCCACAAATTACTTCAGTGCATGCCTTACTCCTTGTGTGGAACCATGATGCTGCGTTGTATAATATATTTTATGTATATGCCAAATCAGGCTGAGGCTGAAGTGACATGTGGGTTGGGACCACTGTTCCTGGTGTTGCCTGAGGGTTTGGAGAACCATGAGGCAGCAGATAACAAATGTCTTCTTGTGGTTCTTGCTCTGAGGTAGGTACCAGGGCACGAGCCTTGTCTCTGGTTCTGAAAGAGAGGATGCTGCTTGTGGGCGAGGCTCTCTTGAGCTCATGCTCTCTTCTACCTCTCCTGTCTCAAGGTCTTTTTTCTCCTTTCCACTTCCATGAGAAGCAGCAAACACTGGTCCTGGGTTTGGAGTTGCTATGCAAAATGATAAAAGGCTAAAGCTGTTCTGTGAGTCCCATGTGAATGGGAGTGTTTTTCACAGCTTTCCCATGTCAGTCTGTTTTTCACAGCTTCCTTGCCTTGACCAGGTGGGGTGAGGCTGGTACCCCCTTGCAAGCATCAGTGATGCTTAAAAGCAAAGCTGTTTCTGATGGAAGGCCCTGTGTGAGTCAGAAGTTGCATCCTGCAACTCCCAGTTTTTGGACACACTTGATGTTTTTTATTTGCACTAAGTTTTCTGCAACATCTTCTCCTAAAGCTCAGGCACTCAGGCCAAGCTGGTGATGCCAAGCTGGAAATGTGTTAGAATTGTGGTATAATTTATGCACACATACATACCTACCTACCTGTGCTTCTCTCATGCACTTCTCTCTTTTGTACATTTCTGATGTCTGATTTTAGTCACCCATTGCCAACCACCACATCTTGGGGCTGAGTCAAATTTTGCGTTTCTGTGACATTTCAATACCTTTAATTTGCCATGTCCAAAGGCAATGTCTGGGAACACTCTAGCAAGAGTTGTATTCAAAGAACTAGAACACTGTGTGGCACTTATACTTGTATTTATTTATTTATTGTCACATGGTGCAAGGGGAGAAAGCTTTGTGGCCTTTCCACGGCACTGGACTGTTGCCACACCATTATTCTGTTGTACCAAATATATTCTCTGGCTACCATCTGTGGCTGAATTCCACACCAATGCCCAACCAGCAGTCCTCATTGGGCTAAAGAATCTAATCTAACAAGTGTCATCTGAGCTTTTAGATCAATGCTGTTTATTTGTCACAATACCGCATGAAATAACTCACACATGGATGCCAGATGCAAAAGAGGGAAGAAAATAACCAAAAGAGAGACTTTATCTTCTGATTCTGCAATATATACAATTTCAAAAGTGACAGTGGATTGGAGGATGAAATTGCCACCTCTCCAACCACACTGGCCAAACCCAACAGTCCATCAATTTCTCTCCACCCACAAAGAAGAATGCAAAACAATCACTGTTTATATGAACAGTGAGAGAAAGTTCCAGTAGAAATATGTAAACATAGACAACTTTCAGAAGAACTTTAAATCTCTTTAAAAAACAGGGTGAGATTTATTATTACTTTTTATAATGGAGAAACAATTGCAGCCATCTTTTGGAACAGAATTTCCTCATGAGTGCATTCATGCTCAAAACATCTTATACCACTAACTCATGAGGCATCTTTCAGCTAGGAAATTTCAGGAAGAATGACAAAAATAAAAGTATGATGATTAACTGTAAAAACTTAATTACACATTTGTACTATAGCAGCTATTCTATGGTCCCTTAAAAAAAGAGGTGTTATAATAACCAGTGATTGATGATTGAGTGTACAGACCTTGTCATGAAAGCATTCTCTGTGTATGTACAATGAACACAGATAAATGCCAGTTTCACTGCTCTTCTGTGATGTGGATATAGGCTCTTCTCTAAACGAGCAGCTTCTGCTGGAGTAGTTGTTAGAATGCCTTAAATTTCTACACTTCCTTTTACTTAGCACTGGGACCTGTGCAATGGCAATTATGATACCCAGTTATGATTCCCAGAGGTGGAATTGATGTGGGCAGAGTAGGAAAGCACTGGCCAGTGCATAACCTGCCAAAGGCTGAGATGAGTTTCTAATGTGGGTTTGCAGGTGTATTAATTCCTCTCTTTTATCTGAGTACTGTCCTGCTGCTACCCTAAATGAATCCAGATAGGAACAGAGTCAGATTTCCCTTCAAGCCCTTCACTCCCCAGTATGGAACACTGCTGATTTAACCTAGGTAGTGTTCAGGATGGAAGCAGAGTTGCAAGGAAGTGGAGCTCACACTTCACAGTCACGTTGCACACAAACCTGCTGTTGGGTGGATGTGGGTTTTGTCATCTCCCTTTTCCGAAGCCTTCTCAAACATATTGCATGTAAAATCACTTTTAGCATTTAAATTGTAACTTCAGCAAAAATCCAGACAGTAATTTATACTGGAAAGACTGACAGTATTTTGTGAAAAACCAATCTGGATTATGACAAAACTTTGGGGTTATTTTTTCTTTATCAATGGCCCAAGTATCTTTGAGCAAATGAGCATCCTGGCTGTGTCCAGATCCTAAATCTGTGCCTCAGACCACTTCCTTTGCTGATGGAAACAGCCCATTTTTATCTCTTGGAATGTTTGCTTTGGAGACCACAAATATCCTTTTTTTCTGCTTAGGGAATCTGGTAAAAGAGGAAGGCTTTGCCTGCAGTGACAAAATGCTCATGTAACTTCATAAGCACAGAAATTGGTTAAAAACTATTTCTGTTCATGGCACTAGTGCCTTGAAGTACATGTTTCTATTTTTGTCCTCCATAAGGAGGAAAACTATCCTGAGTTTACTTCAGTACTCACGTATATGCACCTAAATGTTTTTGTTTATTTTTAATGGATTTTTTAAAAATTACAAAATTCAACTCAGTGATGTATGACGTTGAGAACTGCATAGAAAACAGCACTTTGATGCTCTCTTGATGTAGAAGAGAACTGCACTCTCTCAGAAAAACTATCATTTGTTTCTGAACAAACAGAAGGTTAGAACAGAATTTACTTAAGATATAGCAAGTACTGCTTTATTTCAGTGCAGGCACTTTATGAATATTGTTTTTCCATCCTGTTATTGGTAAGAGTATTAGCATAGCCATGCTTTCTCTTTAGTTTTTTTTTCTTGTCCATGCCAAAGAGTGTAATTGAACTGCTATTGCAAACATAGATTAATGTGAATGTATTCACTCATGTGCTTAAAGATCTCTTCCTCTCACAGCTATTGTAACTGCTTGAACTGTTATTGCACACAGTAGAAAAAAAAAACCCTGAATCCATGTGAGAGTCTAAATCCTATTTCCATATACAGATAAAGGATTTAATTCTTATTAGCTTGCTGTAAAATCCTCATTGCTAAAAAATGGGCATAAGTACCTGAGAAGTGCTGTGTGAATAGCACTTTGCATTGGGCAAATAATGATATAATTTTGGTTTGGGAATTTTTAATTTATTTTTTTCTCACCAAAATAAAAAGACAACAACAGCAATTCATTAGACATGAAAGGTTAGCCTTGATCCCCTTTGAATCCTCATGCTGGATCTCTTCTACTTGGCTTGAAATTCCTAAATAACAATTATTTACCATGCTGGCTCTGGTGTTTAGCAAGGAGATAAACTAGTTGGAAGCAAGAGCTGCTCACTGAAATAGCTGGAATTTTTTGTATGTGGTAGAAACCCAATGTGAGAAGGTTTTGTTCCCCCTTGTCACTCAGCTGTGTTGTAAAGTGAGGGTTGAGCCAACCTGCCAGGAGGTGAGAATGATGATTCGTAAATACTGTTGGTATCTTGGATGATTTCCCACACAAATGAGTAAACTGTCCTGAGACCAAACTACTCTTCATCTCCTCCTTATTTTCTCCTTGTTTCCCCCTAGAACTGGGCAAATTTGACTCCACTGTGGATACAGACTCTGAAGTGTATTTATGAATGTGAGAAAAATTGCAGTCTCTGTGGAAAATGTTGTCAAGAAATTAAGGAAAGCAGTCAAGGATTTTCCCTGTTCTCATTCAGCCTCTCTGGATTGTGCCACTGAACCCTTCCCTTTACATAAGCCAGGCCTGATTTGGGTGATGTGTTGCTCTGGGAGGTTTCCAAGGCTGGTGCCACCAGTCTCTCCAGGAGCCTGGTGGAGTTAAATGAGTGCTATGTTAAACCATAAAAAACTGTTTGAAAACTGTCATGGTATCTCACATTACACAGTCCAGAACTCTTCACTCCGTCTCTCCTGCAGCAGAGAGAATTATTTCTCCCAATTAACAATGTAAAGTCCAGCAGTCTGTGTCTGAAACACAGCACATCTTCCTGGAGCACACAGGAGCATCAGTTAATCCATTCCACTTTCTAGGCTGCTGCAACACTTTTAATTGTGGTTGTTGAAACAGGGTCCAGCATTTCACTTCACAAGCTGCTGGCAGCCTCTTTATTGAGCCACATTCTTTGAGAGCAGCAGGCAGTCCCTGTGCTCAGTGGTGCTGAGAAGCTCTGTACTCAACAGAATCCTTCCGTGGCGGGACCACTCTGCTGGGGCCCACAGCCAGTACAGGCTGCTGGTATCAGAGCAATTCTGGTCAAATACACTCTAATTAAAATAGCCCAAACTACACTACTGAGAAATCAATATATTGTTATCTGAAGTACACTCCAGAGAGGTTTTTGAATGTTTATAAACAAAACAAAAATAACAAAACACCCCAACAGTTCCACTGAAGTTTCCTCCCTCTGCATCCTTTAATCTTCAAAAACATTCCTGCAGACTTCAGAGAGGATTTTATTGCTATCAAGCTGATTGGGTCTTATTTCTCACATCCCTTCCTAACAGAGACAAGGACAGCTGAGGTGTGCAGGACAGTGGCATCAGTCTGAACAGAAATAGGTCATGAGGAGTCAGTGCATTTCCCATGAGGAATTTCAGCTTTTGGGCTGTGATTATGGGGGAGTGGCATTGACACCAGTTTCAGCCTCTGCTTGGCCTGCTCATGTGGCCTCACTAATGCAGAGCACCTCTTGAAGCATGTGCCGATCTAAAGTTGGCTTCTGGAGAGAGCCAGCTGTGCCAGCTGTGCAGGTATCTGGCGTAAAGGTGCTGACATGGCCACCAGATTTGGAGGAGAGCAGATCCAGACATCCTACACTGGCCCTTTGTCCAGTGCAGCTCTTGCCTTGCCTGGAGGAGGAAAGACTGTTCCCAAATCTCTGTAGAGTTGGCATTTGTGAGGGTAGCTCATTAGCACCCATAGTTTTAAAAGATTTAGGTGTGGTACCACCTGCAAAGATCTGAAGCAGATCTTTCTTGCTTGTAAGTCAGTGCAGAGCCTGAAAGCATTTCAGGCTCTCTGAAATATGTGTCCTGTGATGTATGTATTCAATCATACTGTCTCTTACAGCCACCTGGGAAAAGCTTTATAAGAGTCTAGATTATCTACTTCTTCTTTTTTTTTTTTTTTTTTTAATGCTGCTTAAGAGGTTCCTACAGCGGGTATTTGGGGAAAAAGCAGAACACTTTTTCATAATTTGTTTAACCACTGAAAGCAGTTGAGGAGCAGATCCCTCACCAGTGTACATAGATCATCCTGTGAGCAGCCATGCTGATCCACATAAGTGAGGGTAGAGCCTGGCCTGTTTTGAATATTATCTTTGTTTATTTGTATGGTCTTTTGCAGTGTAATGACTGCTTTAATTGCATGTGTTTGACAAAACCAGAAAGGGAGTGAGGTTTATTATTGTTTTGATACAGTCTTAAAAGAGAAGCTTTTTACTAGCATTTTAATACAGCCCTTTGTAAACACTCAGCAAAGAAAAATGCTGAATCCAATCCTTCTGCTAGTGCAGTCACTGAGTTTCCTGCGGCTTTAGTAGGAGCTGGACTGGGTTCAGTGTATGTGGTACACTCCAGCATTACTGATAACGAGTTAATGTGTTTTATATATTGATGCTTTTTGCTGAACAGTGCATCGGCTTTTTATGATTTGGTGAAATATAAAAATAAATTATTTGAAAAGTCATTGTTTCTGTGCCTGTTCTTTGAAGGTGAGTTTAAATTATTATAATATAAGGTAAAAAAAATGTTCTCCAAGTCAGTGGTAGAGTCTTTGTAGTCATTCCCCAGCTTCCCCACGCCACAGCTGGTATTGTTAAAGGTATGCCCAACCATCCTCAGCTGCCTGATCCTTTTGGTATCCTCTTCCAGCAGTTCACCCTAATGCCATTGGGGACAAGGACAAAATAGTCCTGTGTCCACATGCAGCTGGTTTGTTACCAAATGTAGGGTGACACCACAGGCTGCATGGACAGGCCATTTTTCTAAATGCCAGCTGGTTAATTTTCTTCATGTAGCATCAGTCTTTCTCTTCAGAAGTGAGAATAAAGGTTCCCAACAGCTATCTTGGAGCAAAGAATTAATAAGAAACACTATTATCTTATAGGTTCCTGAGTTATTCCTTGGGGGCAGCTGGTAATACCCTTTTTATAGTCACAAGCTGCCAGCTCTTCTGCTTGCTTCTAAGTGGCAAAAGGCAGAAATGACAATTACAATTGCTGCTATGGGCTCATTTCCAGACTATCAGGGTTGGAGACATGAAGGGAAGGAAGGGGACTTGAGCCAATCTTTGGAACTGCCTTTCACTGGTGCTAATGCTGAGTGCATCAAAAGGTTAATGCAAAACCATCCAGTGTTGTCTCTCTATGTCTTTTTGTATCTCCTCTAATCATATGGGTATGGATACTCCTGCTGCTGCAATCAGGTGCTGTCCATGTGCCTGAAGAGGGTGTTGGCAGCTGCCCTCCATCCGTTCACACTGCAGGAATGTGCTGAACACTGTCAAAACAACACTTACCCTTCTGTTGTGATCTGCTTATTTCTGCTGTGTGCTGGCTACATACTCACTGCACCAGGGAATTTAAGCAGCACTGTTAGCCTTAGGGGCTGCCATTAGTCCATTGTCATGCACAGAGCTGCTGCTCTCCCCTTTGCCTCCTGCCGCCCCAGATGCTGCTCCTGGGAATGCTCCTACCCACTGTCTGCTGCAAAAACTGCACCCGGGTCCTGTCCTACATCCCTCCCTATTTCAGAGCTTTATATCTAAAACACAGCCATTTCCAAGCTTCATTATGCAATTGCCCAGAGCTGGTTGGCTGCAGCACTTTTGACTTCTGAGGCAATTCACCAAGCGGCCTCCAGTGTGAATTCAGGTGAGCATCTCCACTTTCTGCAATAAATTATGTACTCTCTCTCCTTTTTACCTCTCTTCGGAAATTCTCAGGAGTTGTACTGAAGGCAAATATTGCCCAGCATGGCCAGCAAGGGGATTATTACCCAACACAGATGATTTAATGTAACTTTAGAGATCCAAACTTATAAAGGTGTCACACCCAGGAGAAACACTGTTGAACAAGAATAAGGAGAAATCACATCCAGCTCATGGTGGTGAGGATAAAGCTGTGATGGCTAAAGAATGAAGGGCCAGAGAGGGAAAAGTGGTTGTGGGTGTTTAAGCAGTATGGATGAATGGGAAAAGCAGTTCAGTGTGAGAAGGAAATAAAAGAAGTAAGTCCACGGTGAAATTGTGCAGCAGAAAAGAAGTGCAGGCCCAGGAGCTGGAATTTTTTCAGTCATGTTATTGACCCACTTCTTTCACTCCCACATGCAATGGCTTTCTTAGCTTCAGTTACAAGCTACCACTGCTCTGCCAGAAATAGGTTTTAGCCCTCATTTATTTCAAACCTTCTGGCTTGGAGGCAATTTTGATTTGCCTTTCTGCTGCCTGCCAAGTATCTGACTGACCACAGTAAACAATTCTGACCCAGGAGACCTTGTAAAGCCATGGTGAGACCTCAACAGTGGTCTCAAGATAACTCGAGTGCTGTCTTTTCCCATGCCCAAAACACTCCCAAACACAGCCAACACAAAGGCCAAAAATAGCTGTTCCTCTGCTAAATATCCTTAACAGCCCAGATGTGATAGCAGTTCTCACTCACACCAATAAATGGTGCCCCAAGAAGAGGAATGTGGACATTTTACTTTTATAGCAGGCTCAGTGTGAAGGTGGTCCTCTGTCCATCCCCTGGGAGCTGTGCAGGAAGCTGAGCACATGTCTGGTCTTCACACCACCTCCACATTTTCCTTGCAGTCCTAAGAGGAGTCAGCCCAGAGTCCAAAAAGAAACACCACTGATTTGCCAAAGAATCTCAACCTGGACAATAAAATGATCACAAACATTCAAAAAATGCAAACAGAAGTAAAAATTACCCCCTTGCCCCAAGCAGGTACCAATCTAAACCTTTTCCCTAGAGATTCACCAGCACACAGGTTTAAAACCATTCTTCTTTATTACCTAAAGAGCAGGGCTGAGACAGGGGAGAAGGGAGGGAAGCAGTGCTGGGAGTCACCCTCTGAGCTGGGGTGCAGGTCAGTGATTTGTACACAGCCCCCTGAGCCAAACCCTGCTCCTGCTGCACCCTCTGCTTCCCAGGCCAGCTCCTGTCCAGCGCCTGCCTGAGGCTTTCACAGCTCAGGAGAGGCAGGAGAGGAGCCACTGAAGGCACTTCTTTCTGTCTTGGGCTGCAATTTTTCTGACTTATTTTCAGTCAAGCCGCTGCCTCCTCTTCTCCTGAGAGAAGATTGCACGTTGTGTTCCTGTTTATCCTCTCCTGGTTTAAGTTCTTGGGCTGCTTGGGAGAAGGTTGCTGGGGCAGATGTATGACCCTCTTTTTAAAAAAAACAATTAGAAATAAAGCACCATTTTTTTCTTTTTGATGGTTGCAATGACAGGGGGAGTATAAACCAAGGTCTTGCAGACATCTCCATCTTTTCTGCAGTGTTTTTTCCCCCTCTTTTTTTCCCCCCTTTTTCTTTTACTTACGGGTTCTGATGTCAATTTTACCATACAAAATAATTCCAAGCACACATCAGGTGCTAGCTGAGCAGAATCTAAAATCTAAAAAGCTGGTTGTGCTGGTTCTTTGAAGCTCATGAACTTGCAGTCATTTGTTCTCCTCTCAGAAACCCAGAGCATCGTTTCACATGATCTCTGTTAAAAGGATTCCTTTCAGAGAAATGCATAGTATGGTGGGACAATGATAAAGGAACTGTGCATCCAACACCTTCACAAGCAGTCCATATTATCATGATATAAGGCCTTGAATAGTCAGGCATAGCCTCTGTCTGAATACAAGCACTATCATAAATCTTGCATGTCAGCCTGTGGGGTTTATGGACTGAATCAAACCCAGATGATTAAACTACTGTTTTGATGATTAACCTGGGTTTCAATGATTCTATTTATTATGTTAGGCAAATAAACTATTTTCTGTTTAAATGAGTTTCCATGTTCTTTTCCACACCTGGGAGTCAAGTGAAGCATCAAGAACCAGCTTTTGCCCATGGATAAACGAAATGTGTGAAAGGAAATAAGAAAGCCATTTGCTGGGATTTTGCTAATAATCATTTCAGGTGTATAGCAGCTTGCCAAGCATTTGGCCACCAGAGCAGTGTCTGTGCAATAGCTCAGCTTTATTTTAACCTTTGCAGAATAATTCTTAGGAGACTTGAGGAGAAAGATGGTTTGGTATTTGAAGCCTTGACCTGAGACTCACAAGACTTTTCTTCCAAGTTTGCTGCTGCCTGCACAGATCAATGCGTTTCTCTCTCTGCTTTTGCTCCTCATATCAGCAGCTTGTTAATTCTGGGTAGCAAAATCTAGATACTTGTTTGCTGTTCAGGGTGATGGAGAGTGATCTTGGTGGGACCTCAAGGCGTTAGTATGAATGTTCACTGATGTGAAACAAAGAAAAACAGCAAAGAAGGAAAAAGGAGAACAAGTGTTTGCTGGATGGTGCGCAGCAGGGGTGATTTTCTTGCTCTTTGAGGTGGATGCTCATGTGTTCCTTGCCTGTGGCTGCAGTAGGCTGGGAGCTTTGCACTGATGTTTCTTAGCAGTGTCAGGCTGGAGGACACTGCTACTGCCTCAGAAACCAAGTCCAGCACCTCTGAGCAACATGTCTTATATGAAGAAAGAAGATGACAAGTCGGGATTGAAATTCCTCTAGGACTGTGACATCTTGCTTCATGCTGGTGTAGTAGAGACTCACAGCAAGGATCAGCACTGCACAAAACAAGAGCCACAGGAGCACAGGCAATCCAGATGATGTCCTGTCATCTGCTGAACGGTGAGGAGAAGAAAAAAAGAAAGCAGCATTCTTTTAATGCCATCTTAAATGCTTCCCAAATTTGATCCCCTGCTGATGCCTTTGTCCCAGTTTTGTGGCAGCAGCAGGGTACAGAGGGCTCTGATGGTGAGCACTTCTGTAGGGATCACTTAAATGATAGTGAGTCACATCTCCTGATGGAAGGTGGTGAGTATAAAAGATATCATCTAATGGAGCATTGAAAGAGTTTAATTATATACAATAAGAACAGGATTAGCATAGCTAATGCATGATCTCGACTTCCCCTACATCAATTATTTTTTATACCTTTACCCTAAATGTTAAGTTGAATGCTAGGAGAATATGAAGCTACTCGGTCTCATTATTTAATGTTCACAAATGCTCCATAAAAGAGAGAAGCTGTGGATTTCTGTCCTTTTCCCTGGTAAGTCAGCTTGTTTGGGACTCCTGCTAATTATGGGAAGAACCCAAACATGGCTCCATTAACAAAGAGGCATGTTCAGAGAGCTCTGGCAATTTGAACCACTCTCAGAGTGCTATGTGTGCTAATTACATCAGAACATCCTCTGGACTTGCTCTTCAGCAAGAGGATACTGTAAAGATTTTTCTTGCCTTCAAAATCTTTTTCCAACATGTTTAAAGTGCCTCAGGTCAGGCACAGCACAGGTGTGGAAATCAGAGGGCTGCATTCAGCTTGCAGCCCTGTGTCCCAGCCCCTGCCTGTGGGTATTCATCCCTGGCCCTGGGGATGCAGTTTTATTCAGACCTGGCTGCTCTGTCTGGCTGCGTGGCCATTGCACAGCCAGCACTATTTCACAAAGCACTTAGAGTATTAAACACGCAGTATAAAGCCAAATTCATGCCTGAATAAAACCCATAGTGTGCAGCTATTTTCCTGCCATATGCACATAATCAATAAGGAGATAAAAATGTGGAGTGTATTATTATGGGTAAAGGGCCAACATTAGCTGTAACATATTTAAATTAGCTTCTACTCCGAGCCCTGGAATACACACCAGTCAATTAAACTGTCATACAGATGTACAGAGAGGAAGGTAAAAGTCATAAAACCAAGCCAGAAACACATAATAATGTATCAAAAAGTGTATGGGGAAAAGGTAAAATGTTAATAGGCAGTCATTTTATAGCTAACCAGAAACCAAATCAATGTCCCATAATAGATCTGAGTGAATTATTTGCAGCAAGTAATTTATTCATTTGAATTTAGCCCTTCTTTCTGTTTTCAAATTCTCCATGTGCAGACTTCAGATTTTATAAATTTGTTTATTTGGCATTATTCTGTGAAGGGTTGATATGAAGGTGTTTAGCCAGGGAATTGCTCACCACTTTCTGGTTTTGCAGAGATTTGTGAGATGGGAGTTGGTGTTTCCCTTGTGAGATTTCCCACACCACAGGCTACAGCTCCTGGCTGGGTGCCCCACCTGCCTTTTCCACCGTGAGGCTTGGCTGATGAGCACTCATGGGAGCAGGGAAACCTTCCTGTGGAAGCTGAACAGCTTTTCACATCAACCCTTTCATATGAAGTCCTTGTAACCTGTTCCAAGTTTTAGAAAGCTACTTTCCATGTGAAATTTCTGGGTGATCACAAATGTAAAAATGGACTTTCCTTATATCCTCTGGGTTATGAAATATGTTCTATCCATAAACAGACAAAAATAACACGGGTAATTCCACCTGCAAAATTGTGATGAGCTGTGCTCACAACAGCTTCAGCCCATCACTACATTTAGGAGCTGAAAATCAAATTTGCTTTTCTATATTGCAATTAGAAAATTAATGCTGAAATTTGTTAGTTAAATTGCTTGTTGGAAGAGAACAGACCTGTGCTCAGTCTCATGGCAACTCATCTGAGAAAAGCACTGGACCTGAGTACAGGAGATTTTGTCTCAGTTCCTGCCTTGGGAACACATTTCCACCGTGCCCTGAAGAATATTTGACCTTTGCTTTTCCACAGAACCCTTTTCTGGCTGTAGTTCATGTTTCTAGCCCAAAACCAGCCCTAGATGATGGTTCCATTGTCATGAGCATACAGCCCCTCTTCCTGGACAAGAGCAATAGCTGAGGGATATGGGGACATCTGCCTGAGAGGCTTTTTGGCCTCCCAAAACTACAGCTCTGTGTGGGTATATACAAATGTGTGTAGGTACCGCTCTCCCCTTCACTGCACTGCCTACAGCAGGGGCTGCATGTTGCCCCTGAAATGATCACCATCATCAGAATATCTAGATACACTCATTTCCTTGGGGGGCTGTGGGGCTGCCAGGCCTCAAACAAAAAACAGAAAAAACTGATTATTTTTATTATTTCTACCCTGCTGTCAGCACATAAATGAATTGTCTCTTCCCCTCATACAAAACTCAGCAGGGAGAACTATTGTTTAGCTTGGGGTGCTTTTCTTGCATATCTTAGTGAGAAACCTGTACCTATTCTAATGCCATAAAATATATTCATTATATTTAAATTAAAAATAGCTTCAGGGATTAATTTTTGTTTCCACTATTTGTCTTACTAGATGTCTTGTTTAAAATTGCACCAGACCTCATCAGCACCTTGTGCTGCTTATGCTGAGAAGAAAAAGCAACAACCACTGACAACATAAACTGCTGTGTATATGGAGGGTATATTTGCACAGTGCATCCCCCCAGCTGCAAAAACAAACTCAGGTTAATGCTATGGATGGCTCACAGTTATAATGTGAAAAATTCTACTTACCCACTACGTAGTCACAGCAGGAAATTACTAGAAAACAAAATGAAAATGTTCTTACTTGCCTGGAAAGGTCTCTTGGCAGCAGGTGAACAAGAAAAGCCGGAGCCAAGCAGTGTCGCTGAAATTGCCTGTCACCTTGGAGCTGCTGGGCAACCTCTTACACCACTTTTGGCTCTGGATGAGGACCTACTCAATCCATGCAAACATGCAGGTGCTGGTGCACTTCAGGAAAGTGAGGAAAAATTATTGTGTGTGAGAATTCAGAGGCAGGATTGCTGCTGCTGCAGGAAGGTCAGGAAACAGCTGTGCTAAAACCCCTCCCTATTCCACGTAATTCATAGAAAGGAAAGGATTTAGACCAAAAGGCTGAAAGAATGAAAGTTAAGCACTGTCAGACTAACTTTCATTTCAAAAATATCCTGGAAATGAGTCTGCTTGGCAGCCAGGGCCCAGAGAAAAACCAGGATGAAAAGTCCTTGATTGGAAATGGAAAAAATTTGGTGGTGCCGAGACCTTTATTTCACCAGCCTTAATGTGAGTAATGCTGTGTGGACAAACAGCAAATAATCTAAATCACAGACTGTTTGCAACACAGAATACCAGTTATGGGTCGGAACGTTCCTGATGTCTCCATGAAAAAGAGTCAGAGCCTTCTCCATGCTTGCAGCTCCCTGCAGGAGTTCCAGTATGGCTTTGCAGAAGTCAGAGCCAGTGGGAGGCCAGCCTGGTCTCCTGGGCTGGACTGACTGCAGGATTCCCAGTGCTGGTGTGGGGCATGGACTCTGGCAGAGAGCTGAGGGAGTTATTAGTGCCCATCAGAATCCTACTCTAGAGCAGTCAGATGAGCTTTGAGGAATTTAAGTCTGACTCCCTGAGTCTTTCCAGGAGTTCAGTTTTGGTGGGAAAGCCCAAGCCATGTCAACAAGCTTATCAAGAAACAGCTTCCCCTTCATGCATCAGGAGGCATCCCAAACAATGTATTGCCAAACAAATGAGGGTTCTGTTTATAGACACAGCAGATGCCAAACCTTATTTTCAGAAGCTGTAGCAGTCCAAACAGGTGGCTGACATAGAAATTTTACCATTCTGCTGCCTGTGTTCTGACCAACTGACATATCAAACCCATATAATTTTAGTTCTCTACCAATAAATAAAACTAACTTGGTTGGATGAGTTTGGGAAAGTCAGTAGGTAACACCAGTTATTTGGTATGGCATACAGCACATACAGAAGTACAAGCTGGATCCTTGTGCCAGACCTCTGCTGAAGGTCAACTGGGAGTTGACCTACTTGCAATATTTTGGCTCATGAATGAAAAGACCAGAGGTTTTGTTAGCTGTGTCATTCATTGGGTGTCTCTGTTGGCAGAAGTTATTGCATCCTGGCTGCTAGGCTCAGACCCCTGCTGTTGTACTCTGTGGCATCCTAGTTACCCACAGTGACATAATTATGTTTAAATGTGGTCTGAGTGGAAACATTGCTCTGGGGAAGCCCTGGGGCCCAGCCAGACCCGTGGTGTACAATGACCCCTGTGGGGGCTGACTAAGGAGTCACTGTGACAGCAACTGAGGGTGAGGCAGGAGCTTGTCCATCCCAGGGCAGGCAGGAAAATGGACCAGATGAAGCTCTGCAGAGCTCAGAGCAAAAATCATCCACCCTCTGCTCTGTGCTGAGCTGAAAATCACAAATTTTCAGAGGGAGAAGCTGATCTGAACAGACAGAGTGGATGTTAAAAGCTAGAAAGGTCATGCCAAAATTCCTGATAACTTGGGCATACCATGTTCGATGACTTCTTCTGGCTCACGAAATCGAACCCTCCTCTCTGCTCTCCTCTTTTCCCCCACAGCTTGGTCCACAGGTGGCCTTTTCCTCAGTATGGAAGGAGGATAGCTGCTGTCATCTGTCTAAAGAGTTGATCAAAACACAAAACACGTGACCATTCAAACAGGGTGAAGTATCTGGGTGAACTTTTGATCTTTGGTGGATGTGTCCCTCGAAGGACACGACATGTAGCACGTCTGCTTGGGCATAGCCAGACCACTCTAATATTTACAGCCAAACAAAAGGCATATTCCTGCATTGCCACAGATCTGCAGTACTCTAAAGGTGCATTCTAAGGGAAAAGGATAGGTAGAGCAATGGACAGCAAAATGTTCAGAAAGGATTTCTCTAAATTGTAACAAAGATTTGCTGAAAGTGGCTGCTCAAGAGCCTTGGGCTGTTCTTAGAAGAACATAAATGTGATATGAAATATATGAACCATATCATTTGGAGCACCTTTGAAATGTTCTGAGCTAAGCAGTTCCATTCAGAATGCAGCGTTACCGTTTGAAAAAACTGGGACTGTGCAGCTGACTTGGGTTTGGACACTCCTGATGGGTACAAGAAGGTAATTTATTTGCATTTCAATATGACAATTGTGCTGTTGCTCTGGTTTTTGCTTGGAAACCACATTTAGTCTTTGACAACAGGATCATAATGCTGTGGATTCTTTGTAATTACAAGAAACAGAGCTGCAATAACAGTAATAACTCACTGTTCTGCATGGGAATGCTCCCACAGCCAGCTGCCCAAAGTAATCCAAAGAACCTTGATTCAGACACCCACTGTCCTCTGGCAGTAGAGAGCAGATGGTATTTTTTCTGCTTTTCAAAGTGAGGGGTAGAGATTCTTAACATTTTATTTCTGCCTGGAGTAACCTTTGCTAGATTTTTCCATCTCTCCTCTCTGTTCCATGGCTAGATAAAGGTTATTATTTCTTCTGGATTTCTCTCTGCTCCCTTCCCCGCCCCCCCCCTTCCTTGTTTGTTGTTCCCCCACTCAGTGATTGCGTTCTCCTTACTTCAATTCTCCTTGCTTTAATCTTTCCACGCCTCATTTATCTAATTTTGTCCTTTTTTGGACCCAAATGCCATTGCCTTGACTTCTCTCGTTGGATGCTTTCCCCATGCTCACCATTTCACACACCCACTCCTTGGACTGCAGAAACAGGATTAGGTCCCATTGACTGCAATGTGGGGGTGTCAGACCCCAGAGTAAGGGGGATAAATAGGTTTTCTTACACATCACATTCTAGATAACCTCAAAAGACATATTACATAGCCAGCAGGAACTGCTGTGGGGTGAGGAATGTCTTCAGCTTTGATCCCTTCTCCTGAGAGAGTCATAAAACCAATCTCAGCACTCATAAGGATGCTTTCTCTGATCCTGGGGTCATATCACCTCTGTCTCATGGCTGGGGACAGTGTGTGTTGGAGCTCTGAGCTTTTCATTCAGCATCTAAGAAGCTGGAAGCCCTGTTCAGGTTAGGGAAAACCTGGATTTCACTTCTTTCTGAATCCAAAGAAATACAAAGTTACATCTTATATACACACTCTCATCATCAGGGTTATGGTGCACACACAGGAGCAGGGAATCTCAGTCTCTGCCACTGGAGCTGTCTTGTTTGGCCTTGAATAATTAAATATTCATTGAGCTAAAGAAAGAAAGAAAGAATGACTTTACAGCCTCGTGTTTGGGCACTCCCTTGGGGGTGGCAGAAGTCTGCTCCTATCCTTGCTCCAATGAATACTTAATGTGTAATACTTAAATATTCATTGGAGCGGTCACTGGGAGCAGGGTCTGTCATCTACCAGGTGAACACCCCAATCCCTCTGCAACAGCCACACACACACACTTACTCACATAATGAATATTTGATCATTCTGTGTAAAATGAAACAGGTTTAGGGAGACACAGCCTAGCTCAGGCCGGGGGTGGTTATAGCTATAAGGTCTTCTCCTGTGGCACAACCAAGGAAACTGAACCTTATCTTTGAAGAGATTTATAACTCCAAGTGCAGCTGTTGCCCCATATGAGCTTTTCCAAACACTGAGCAGCAACAACATATCAGAAGAGAAAAACATTAAACTGCCTGGTTGGATAACACCTAGCCAAGGAAAACCTTAAAAAGGAAGTGATTTAATGATATTCACTAGACTTTATTAACTTACAGAAATCAAAGCTCCACAGTGTCAGAACGAACAAAGCACTGTCCCCTCAGACAGAAATATGGTGTTAACATACTGTGACAAAGCTGGAAAACTACCAAAGTGATAGCTGGGAAATTGTATGACCCTAAAAACAACCCATTTGTAACAAGCTCCAGGCACTGGACACAGGGACTTCATCACCCATGAGAAGATTACTTACCTGCAGCTCTTTGGCACTAGGATCAGAAAGTGAGGCTGGACATATTTGGGACATGTACTCTGGATGCCAACATGAAGCCTCCCACATGAAGCTTTGGATGGAAAACCTCTTGCCCAGGAAATGAGAGGGACCAAGGAAAAGTGTCCGGAGACCCCTGAGCAGCGGGGACAGAGCCGGCAGCAGAGGAGGAGGAGTGGAAAGAAGAGTTTGTGCCCTTCGTACCAGGGCTGGTGTGGGAAGGATGAGATGTACTCAGGAGCCAAAAATAGCACCCAGTGATAATACTGGCTGTGCAGCTGGAAGCAGGGCTGTTCTGGCACCCAAGAGAGCCTGAATGGAGCAAGTCACAGATAAACACCTACGTATTCGTTCTGCGTGAATGTGAAGCTGGGGGTGGATTTTTAACAGCAATTGCTGCATTTCTGTGATCATGTTGGTTTCCTTTCCGGAACCCATTCCCAGTCACAAAAATCTTGCAAGTGGGATTGCTTTTAATCCTTCTTCCATTCAAAATATGTGGGTAAAGTCATCAGCAAATTATGTAAATATAGTGGGATGACAGATATCTCCCTCCAGAACAGTTATGGCCTCACTTTATATGTTTTACAAATTAAATCTATTATTATAGTAATAAAATGGGATTTAAACATTTGACATTTCTACTCATATTATAGTAAGATTATTGATAGAAAGAGAGGTGATTTACTGTTCAAGAGACTTTAACAGGCCCTTTTCAAATGCTGAAGGCTGGGCATCATCAAATATACAATTTCTAGTTGGAAATACCTGCCATGATTGCTGAAATATACTGGTTTGATGTCCCTGCAACCACAAGCTTGTGCTTTTTCGTTTGTGTGTTTGTTTTTGTTTTCCTGTAGCTGTTTACATGGTTTGGCTTTATTGCAGGTGGCTGGATGGATATTTCCATGTCATGTTCAGGCTGGCCCTTGTTCTGCAGCGCAGAGAGGGTGGCAAGATGCTCATACAGGCACTGCGAAGCAGAGGGCACAGCTGCTCTGTGAGCTTCACTACTTATTCACTTTCTTTCAGGGATGTGGGGAATGGTTGAGTAGATGGAGAAGGCTGGGATCCCCCAGCAGAGCAACAGAGGAGGCCTCTGTGGCTGTTGTGGGGTCAGCAAACCCCTCAGGACTTGCTGCCCTCCTGCAGCCCAGCCTCTGCATGGGTGTATTGTCCTCAAGTCTGCCCTTAGAGCTGCCCATCAGCATCCACGTGGACAGGAATAGATTTTGCAGGTCTAGGGCTCTCCACTGAATGCACCAGACCTGAAAGACCTCTGAAAAGAGTTACCTTACCTTCTCTTTCTTGAGCATTGGGGTGATGGAGGGCTTTTCCTCATGCTGAAACCAGCTCACAGCTGCAGGCCTTGTGAACTGCTTCCCGAATCCCCTCTCTGCTGTGTCCTGCAAGTGTTCCACAGAGGTTATTTCAGGAAATCTAGGGTGGTTTTTGGTGGGGAAAAGACAGTCTTTAAAATTTTGTTCATAGTAGATCCTAGACAGAAAGGTGACAAAACCTGTCAAACCATGGTCCCTGGCTTCTCTGGCTCCTCCTTCCTCCTGTTGTGATAATCACTTACTATTAATTCATGGAATTAATAAATGTAAAAGAAATTTACCTGCCTGCTTTGGCCAGCAAAACCGATGAAGGCTGGGATTAGGGAACTCTGACTCTAGTCCTCATCTAGCTTTGACTTTTTCCATGGGAATTGTCTCATTTCTTTTTATTAGCATCACCCAGCAAGGCTCATAAGAAGGTCTTGTGGAGCTTCTTATTCCTGCAAAATGGGGCAATGCACTTTTAGATCTGAATGAAAAACCTTGTTCATGTCTTTTTCACTGAGCCTGGCTTTGTTCACAGGAAGATTTTACAGTTTTTGAAGTATTTGGTCAAAGATATTTTTGTAATTAAAAAAAAACAAAACAAAAACAAACAAAAAAACACCAGTGCAGAAGTGGATGGGGTTTGTTGTATTAAAGAAATGGACATATGGAGACAACAGTTATAATTTTTCATGCCAGAAACCATTTCTTTTCAGTTCTAGAGTCCCCTAAAATGTAAACAAATTTTTTTTATTCATTTGATTGAAAAATAATTGGGCAGCTTATAAATGTTTTCATGAAAGATTGCTATCTAAATGCCAGGAATGATAATTTCATAGTGGCATTCTCACTTTTATCTCAAGATGTGCTAATTATATTGATAGTAATGGTTGTAAATGCTTGAATAATTAGTAGTTACCTGGGCACTCGAGTTTCAGTGGATAAAGATGTCAGGAGTTCAAATCTCATGACAGGGACAGTTCCATTCATACTAAGTGCTTTTGATTGTAGTTTAACAGCCTAAAATTGGATATATGTTAGGAATAAAATACAGCCCAATGCCTAAAGTAAAAGAATCCAGGAAAATAACTTCTCTAGCCTCTGAAATCACTGGTAATAAATAAGAGTGGGATGATTTCTACATTAAAAGCTGTAAGAATTTCCTTTAATACTGCCCTTCTTTTTAAAGTAATTTTTCATCTAAGCTTTGATCTAATTTCATGCAAAGTATGTCAGAAACAAAGCTGGACAAATAATTTATAAATGAATTATTTAGCTTGTGAGTGTCACCTCTATTTCTTTCAGATAATTGTTCACAAATAGATAGTGACTTTTGTCAATGTATTCATTATTCAGATTTATTCAGTGGATAATTGCTGGGAGTAATTCTTTGTCTGTAGATTGCTTGGAATCATTTTGCTGTGAACATTTAATAGTAAAAATCTATCCAGGCTTTCAATAAAAGGCAAACTAAAATTATCTATTACAAGTGATGTAGCCCTTAAACACGAACAATATAATGAAGTCTTAAAGAGCAACGCCAACATTTTTATCAAGAAATCCACTACTTTCCATGCTACATAGGAGAGAAAGCAAAAACATTTCAACTCTCTGTGTAGCACTGACATTGAATGGTGCACATTGTATATGCAAATAAGATTTTACAAGAAAAGGGTTGCTTAAGTGTTTGCTCAGCAGAAAAACAAAACATGCCTAAACAAAACATGATTGACTTCCCAGAGAATAAATATGAGCAGTCCACACAAAGGAATTAACTGCACAGCCAGTATTTTTTCTGCAATACCTCAGTGGAAGATGTCTAGGAAATAAACATAACATGATAAAACAATTTTACACTCAGAGGATAGCTGTGTAACCATATGAACTCTTTTTCCATTTCCTTTTGCGGGAATAAATATTTTAGACAAGCAAAGTACTTTGTAAATGATGCCTTTGTGGGGATTCGTCTGGCCTGGTTCAATTATTCTGAAACCTAGCAATTTTCTCATATCATTGAATCTGCTTTTATTGCAAATAGGGTCATAGAAATAGTCACTCATTGCAATAATGGACTTCGTTTATCTTAACTATTAACACTTCCAGTAGGTTTACACACACACACACACGTCTATATTCAATATTTATGGATATGCACAGTGCATATATATTAATAATGAAGTAACTTTATCTCCAACAATCTGAAAACAAAATCACGTAATACCATACAGTGTGGGGTGCAGTGGTAACTGGAAGCAGCATATCAGGATAACAGAACAGAAAAGGAATAAATAAATTAGAGGGGAGTCTTCCATATCTTCCTCAACTTCCAGAGTGTCAATTGAGCCTTTGTTCAGTTTTCCACCTTTCGCGGTTCTGTGTGCTCTTGATTAATAATTTAGAGATGCACCTTTTGGAAGCAGGGTAAGTTTTGTGTTTGCCAAGAGTGATTTTCCACTAGTCAGGGAGTACATCAGGAAATAAAACAGCAAATTGCCCCACAGAGTATAATTGGCTGTTGCCTTCTTCCTTTTTCTGCCTCTGGGGAAACAGATTTACTGCTGGAACTTATGGGACCCCCATGAGATGTCATACAGCACCATTTCTTCTCCTCAACCTTGCAGTAAAGAAAGCACTGTGTAAATCCCTGCCTCAAGACAAAAATCAGCTCTTTGGACTGCACGTTTCCATTCCACATCCAGAAGGATCATGATTAATCTGTTGTCTGGTGGTCAATCCAAATTGTGGCTTTTTCTTGGAGTTGGTGAAAAAAAAAGAGCAACAGCAAAGCATAATGGAAACAGAGCACTGAGTGGGAAGATGATCTGGCAACACTTGGTGTGTGTAGCCAGCCAGGATGAAAGCAATCAGATTTCCTTCCTGTATACCTGTTAGTTCCTGTGATGACCAGAGAACTGTGTATCCAGGCGTGTTTTTCCCCCAGGAAGTGCAGTTGTGACCAGTGCAAAGTGCAGCATCAACAGTGCCTGTGCTGCTCCGTGAAGGACCCACAGGATCTCGATGCCCTTCAGTTATTACTACCCTGTGCTGGAAGTTTTCATGGTCACACAGATTCCTCAGTACCCCTTTGGTGGGGTGGGCAGACCTGGGCCATCCACCAGGACCTGTGGGCCTGGATTGCTAACCTTTGTAAAAACTGGGGTGGGGTGGTGGTACTGCATGTGGCCATCTGATCATCACAACAGAACTCACTTCTGAAGGCACAGTCATGGCCCTGTTTGCAGATGTAGTATGTCAGAATTGTTTTGGTTGGAAAAGATATTTAAGGTCAGTGAATCCAGCTGTTAACCCAACAGTGCCAAGGCCACCACTAAACCATATCCCCAAGTGCCACATCTAAATGTCTTTTAAATACCTCCAGGGATTGTGATCTAATGGCTTCCCTGGGCAGTCTGTTCCAGTGCTTGACAACCCTTTTGGTGAAGAAATTTTTCCTTATAGCCAATCTAAACCTCCCCTGGTGCAATATGAGGCCTTTTCCTCTTGTTCCATTTCTTGTTAATTGGGAGAAGAGGCCAACACCCCCCATCTACAATCTTTTTCTAGGTAGTTTTAGGGAGCGAGATGGTTTCCCCTGAGCCTAATTTTCTCCAGTCAAAACTGGAGCTGCTTCTCATAATCTTGTGCTCTAGATCCTTCCTCAGCTCCATTACCCTTCTCTGGACTTGCTCCAGCACCTCAATATCTTTCTTGTAGTGAGTGACCTAAAACTGAAAACAGGATTCAAGGTGCAGCCTCGCCAGTGCTGAGTACAGGAGGACCACGTAGCAAGTCCTTCAAAGTGATGATCGTGTTCCTGGAGCCGTGTCACCAGTTTAAAATCCACATTGTGCACAGGCTTTTCCTGGTTTTGGGCTGGGCTCTTTCCTAAGGCAAAGGTAGAAGCACTGAGCAGAAGTGTTACAGGGTTTTGCATTATGGTGAGAACATCCCTGCTGCAGGGCAGAGCAAGCTCTGCTCTATTTGGACTGACTGGAAGTGATTTAACTCTGTTGAGGAATTTTTTCTCAATTTATTCCTGGCATTGACTTATAAAAGTCTCCATTTCTTAAAATTGCCTCTCTTATTCATGTGTCTTTCTGGGTAGATGTTACAAATAACTACAGAGGACTTGTGATGATATATAGTAAACATAGAATTCCTGGCTGCTGAACGGAACTTTCTAAATAATTACAGAATGATTCCACATCCATTTCATAATTAGACTCCTGAGATTGCAGCCAAGCTATTATTTGTGATTCAACAGGCATTTTTATTTTAGAAATGTCCCATAGCCATTAGGTTTATTCCACCTGAGATTTTCTAATTTGTTCTGATCATCCTGTCACCGAGGCCTAAAATGTAAAACATGTATTGATTGAATAAGAGTTACCAAGGAACCAAATGCTAATTTCTGCCGCTGGATCACTGATTCCAAATCAGTCAGTCTTGTTGATGTGGGATGTGAGAGATGGACAGGGCTGGAATGAGTGAGGTCATTCTGAGTCAGCTTTTGTTACACACTCATTGTATTTTAGGAACAAAAACTTGTGGAACTGTAACTTTTGCACAAAGCATTTGGGCTGCTGTTGCTGGCAGGGCTGCCAGCAGCCATGAGGTGAATTAGGAGAAGCCCACTGCCAGCAGGAGGACATCTGAGCAGGCATAAAAGAGAAAAGGCATGCAGAGAAAACCACTTAGAAATAGGGAAAGTGGAATTATCTTCAGGAGTTCAATTTTAGCAGTAATCACCCTGTGCCTGATGTTGTGTTCACTGGGGCTTTCTGCCCACATTCCTTGGTGAGCTTTGACCTGCAGAGAAATCCAGCTAGGATGACTGCAGGATACAGCCTCAAAAGGGGATTAGTGGTTTTGTCTTAATCCCGAGTTATCAAAAGCCTCCAATTGACTTCTGTGAGCCACTGTCTCTCCCCTAAAAAGGATTTTAGAAACCTGGCAGCCATTAATGCCAAACTGGCCCTGAGAGGGGCAAC